CTTACAATTTGTGACATTTCATGGTCATCTAACAATGCAAACATGGTGAAAATCTTTTGCAACAAAACCCAAGACTGGAAACATTGGAGATAGGTTGATTTCTTTTCTGTGCTTACTTTCAAGCATAAACTGAAAGAGTTCACCAGCTGTGAGATTCCAATCTGTTATTGCTCTAAGAATATTCAAATAGATTAGTTTTCACAAGTTATTTTTTAGGCTTCCTATACCTTTTGCCTGTTAATTCGTATGCTACCTATAGCTTAAATACCAACATGGCAGGAAAGTCATAAATACATTTGACAAAAAAGTTAGACTATAAAAAACCCAATTAAAGAAAAGAGAGAACTGTGGAGATCCAGTGGCTAAGTACAGGATCAGTGACATTGATTTAGTAAATGCTAATGTACTCACATGTAATTAATTAATCAGCCAAAGAACGCTAGGAGTTTAAACTGTGAAGAGCATAACGTGAGGTACTTTATTTAAACATTTAAAATGCATTTTTTTCCCACTATTTAACAGAATAAGTGATTTTATGTCATAATTACTCAGATTTGAACTGTATCCTTCTGTCAGAAAAACGTTTCAGTTCTTTCACCTGGCACATCAGAAATACCTAGGGAAAGCATGCAGACTAACAAAAAGGTCTGCAGCTGAGTTTGAACTGGAGGCAGTGGTTAAATGTGTTGCCCCAGTGAACAGCCCACCAAGCTCACCTGCAGCAGCTGAAAGCTCCAGCCTTGTGTTAGCAGAGCATCTGCAGAAAACATAGTCAAGTCAACAGAGGTACAGACTCATTGTGTTGCTGATCTTTGCAATCAGACAATTTAAAATTAAGATGTATGTTACGAAAATTGCTTTGGCTTTTGAAATAAGGGTAGTGTTGATAAACTGAGAATTTAGAGGATGATAATAAGTTTTCACTGTTGTAGTTTATGAAAGCAGAAAAGGCAGCAAATGAGGCTTCATTGCAGAATAAGTCCATTCTAACATGTAAAAAGCAACTACCGTTTTCTGTGCAGGTTATGAAATACTGGTTTTCTTAATCAGAAATGATCTTGTACATCTGAAAAGTCAGACTTTAAAGTTAATTTCTCCATACCCTCACTGGCCATGATGCCGCAAGCTGATTAAATAATGCCATACTTTATTTTGTCTTCCTGTGTGTTTCAGTTAACACCTTTTAAGACAAAGAAACATCAGTAAGGTAATAGGGTGGTATGGAAAGCATTAATGAATGAACTCTTGTGTGCAAGTGCACCACATTCATATAGAATTATTGCCACTGCAGGAGATTCTGTGACCAGATCCACATAGAAAACACAAAAAAAAAAAAATTTAAAAAAATGATAAATTTGGGGCATTCTTTCTCCAATGTGATCATAAAGACTTGCATGAGTTATTTTTTTGGGTTTTTGTTGGTTTGGTTTTTTTTCTTTTAGTTACTGAGCACGAAAAATGTATAAAAATCTGTAATTTTTATTTTGGCAAAACTGAGGATCTTCAGCACTCACAGACCAAACATCAACTGAGGTTGCTGCTCCTTTGCAGTCACCCTGGCTGGAGAGAAACAGCTCTGTAGAGAAGGTCCTGGTGCTCCTGGTCATGATCATGGTCATGGTTATGGTCATGGTCATGGTGATGTTCAGCAGTGCCCCGGCTGAAGCAAATCCCCCCGTGCCCTGGTCTGTAGGAACAGGAGCAGGGCCAGCTGCCGAGGCAGGGATAATCCCCCTCTGCTCAGCACTCACGGGACAGCAGCAATGCGGTCTGTCCGGTTCGGGCACCCCCAGCCGGGGAAACAGCCGATAAAGTGGAGCAAGTGCCGATGGGGGCACCGAGGGGTCCAAAGCTGCGGCGCTGTCCTGCTCTGCAGGCTGAGGGACCAGGGCCAGCTCAGCCTCGGGAAGGCAAAGTTGGGGCAGCAAAGAGTAGCCATCAACACCTACAGGAAAGCCATCAAAAAGGTGGAGTTACGCTCTTCACAACAGTAGATGCTGCGAGGAGAGACAACAGGTATGGATTGAGAGAGTACCTTAGATTAGGTATAAGAGGGAAAAAATCATCCTGATGGTAATCTTGCATTGGATTTTGTTTCCCAGAGAGACTGTGGGGAAGATTGGGGATTTTCATAACTGTACAGGATAGACAACCTTCTCTGGTACCCAGCTGTGATAAGCAGTCTGGACCAGAAACCTGCTCAGGTCTCTGCCAGCTGGAATTATCCTTTGATACTATGGCAATTTCTAAAGAATGTCTGCAAAATTTCCCTACACATTAGATCTGCTATTCTTACCACTGTGAAGTTTTCCAATTGCCTAATGTGAATTTCTTCTACAATGCAAGAACACAACTACTTTTTTTTTTTTTTTTCACTACACTCTCCGTCTTTGCAACAACTTGCTATGTTTTGAAGATTGTTACCATGCTATTTCCGGACCCCTTAGAACTTTGCTGTATGCTTAATACTTCAGGCCATTAAGTGTCCCATTTAAATTTGTTGTTTCTTTTGGGCTACCATATGTGTCAGTTTTCTTGGAGATTTCTGAGTATGTTTAGAGTATACAGTGTAATAGAGCAGGAGTACACTCAGCTAGCTTTAAAAATTTTATTTCTCTAGTCCATATTTCATTGATTTTCTTAATAAAAGTTTTCATAGTGCATTTCTTCTCCTACTCCTGTAGTTCCTAGGCTACATATAATATGACTGTGCAATGCTTAAGCTGCTTCTGAAGTGGAATTCACAGATATTGCTCTCTTGCCTTTTAACTTACAAGAAATTATTAAAGTATAATTCTTATGATAAGTCATTCTGTGCAGTCATCCACAACTGTAAGCTCTAAGACTGCCCCAAATTTGCATGTCTGCAGTTCTTACATACAGATTCATTCTCAGCGGAACAGCATTATGCTAGCTTCTTCTCCTCATTTTTTTTCAGCTATGTTTTTTCCTTTATTTTTTAACATAATGAGCTGCTCACTCATTTTCTCTGTTCCTCAGAGGGTTTTGCATCTTCTATAAACACATACATGAGGTTACCTTTTCTTTCTATTCGTTGAATTCTGCTGTCAGAAAAACAATTTTGCTTCAGTGCCTCAGGGTGAACACTCTTATTTATCAATCCTTCCTATATTTAAACAAGCCTCTCAGAGTGACAGTGAATGTAGCACAGGAGAGATTGAAGGGGTGAAGCTGCCTTCTGCCTGAAGCCAGGCTGGGTAGACAGAGCTGTAGCAGCTCTGCACTTTGCCTCAGGATCAGCATCCCCAGTTGCACTGGTTATTCTGCCTACGGTAGGCAGATGAGGAAGTACAACTCCTTCATCCAACAAACTATGTAAGGACAGATGTTTTCAGCTTACTCAGATGTTAGAATTAGGATGCTATAGGATGCCCTGTACAAGAGACATAACTACCTCAGTATATGCTTGAACAAATTGAAGACATTAGTGCAGCATGCGTTGCCGTAGCTTAAGCCTAACTGGAATAATGAGCATCAAAATGCAGAAACAGAAAATTTGGCATGAGCTTGCAACCGGAATAAGGGCATGGGAGGTCCACTAAGATTCACACCTCTAAAGCATCAGTATTGTCTTCCTGCTAGACAGGTAAAAGGTAACTTAAAGTCACCCCCTGCAATGCAGTGACTCCTTACGCTGCATTGAAGAAATAGCTTGAAGGCTTACTTTCAAAAGGGAAGAAATTCTTTGGGTTGTTCTAGATTTATTGCTACCCAGGCAAAATTACAATAGGCAAATTTAATCTCTTGGTGCCATTAAGGCACTTGGGCAAAGTTCCCTATAAACCCTGCCCATTTTCTTCAGAACAAATACAGATGCAGAAAATTTTGCATTTTTTTTCCACATGTACCCCTTATATATATCAATTTAGTCTGAAAAGTCACAATACCCTATGATTTCTTCAATTTTTAGGGTTCATTTTTAAAGTGTGTGTTTGCTTAAATCTCACTAAATATAAAAAGACTGTGTGTACTGATGTGCTGTGTACCTATTTAGCTGCTACTGATGGGAGGACATATTGACTTTCACTTTATTTTAATGAACTCTAAAACATCTACAGCTTGTAAATATGTGACTATTTAATCATTTATGTTATTTAAAAATTATTTAAAAATTATTTCCGTATTTATGGTCCTACTATACTCAGATGGGTTTTGTCAAGGGGAACTGACTGCAGGAATCACAGAATTTTGTGACCTTTGACATACGCCCTTGCCAACCTTGGCAATACAAGCCACTAAAAATGTTATGAATATGTCTACAGAACCTCTCAGAGAAGTATAACCAGTCTCGTGTCAAATATCATCTGCTGCAAGATAAATATTGGAATAAAAATTCAGCATGTGAGCAATCTGAGTTTATCAAAATGTACTCTTTGACCTGAAAAGCCAGTGGCAAAACACACCAAAGTGGGACTCACGGTCCCATGGTGTTAAAAACAAAGCTCAATAAGTGCTGTTGCTGAATAATCCACAAATACATCTTAGTTGTCATTTAGAACTGTAGTCCAGTCATAGTGGGGATAAATTCCTTAACTACTGAAGAGTTGGAATATTCAGAGTAATTGACTACCATACAGTGATCAGTTTTGACTATTATTTTAGATGTATTTAAGATATAGAAGGATAATTTCCTTTCTACAATTTGTTCAGACCAAGGTCTTGTTGAAATTCCCAGATGCGACTTTTTAGTTTTGTGAATATTAGTCCAGTAGGAAGAATACTGAAACATATGATGTTAATTAAAAATCAGCCATGAAGCGACAAAGATGGTATTTTGCTACCAGTCCAGATTGGATTGAAAACCCTAATTTACTGAAAGAAATAATTCTGTAACCCCCTGCAAGACTTAATAAATTAGTACAACTGGTACGCCATCACTTACATTTATTTCTCTTACTGGGAAAGATACCACAGCATGCACTCCATACTTATACCTGTACTAATGTCTGTCTCCTTGTTTTTGCTGTTTTCTCTCCTAGGATTTCTCCCCTAGCTGAGCAAGCGACACACAGAGAAACATGCCTGAGCAAAGCAACGATTACAGGGTAGTTGTGTTTGGAGCTGGAGGAGTGGGAAAAAGTTCTTTGGTCCTGAGATTCGTGAAGGGCACTTTCAGGGAGAGCTACATCCCTACCATTGAAGACACCTATCGGCAGGTGATCAGCTGTGATAAGAGCATATGCACTTTGCAGATAACTGACACTACAGGGAGCCATCAGTTTCCAGCCATGCAACGTCTCTCTATTTCTAAAGGACATGCTTTTATTTTGGTTTACTCTATCACCAGCCGACAGTCCTTGGAGGAACTCAAGCCAATCTATGAGCAAATATGTCAGATCAAAGGAGACATAGAAAGCATTCCAATAATGCTGGTGGGGAACAAAAATGATGAGAACCAAAATCGAGAGGTAGAAAGCAGTGAAGGAGAAGCCATGGCTAAGAAGTGGAAATGTGCCTTCATGGAGACCTCTGCCAAGACGAACCACAATGTGAAAGAGCTATTCCAAGAATTGCTAAACCTGGAGAAACGCAGGACTGTGAGTTTGCAAATTGATGGCAAAAAAAGCAAGCAACAGAAAAGGAAGGAGAAGCTGAAAGGAAAATGTGTGGTGATGTGAAATTGCACTGTCAGGAATCAGCTGAGAAGTCTCATCTGACAATACGCATGTAAACCCATAGACAGCAAACAACCATGCAAGATCCTATTTATTAGTATCTGTTTTAAAAGAAATACTTGGAAATTGAAAAAATGAGGTACTGTGATTGCTATTAAAAAAAATGGAAAAATAAAAATATGTGTAGTCTCACAATCAAGTAAAGCATATCAGGAAGAAAAAAAAGATGTCCCAGAATACCTTATTTTGTAATTTACAAAAAAGAATTATCATCATTCACATAATATGAAAGATTTGTAAAATCAACTTAACATTATCTGCATTTGCATATAATTGCAAGAGAAAAACATGTATAATATCAGAAGAAAAACAAAGAAATGGTAGTGAAGAAACCTAGAACATACAAATACATGCTGGATGGTGTTAACTATTTCCTTCAAGAACGCTGTGGATAAACAATTCTATGACATTTTAATTACTGACTGGTGGAAGAGTGTGCATAAGACAGTCTTGGATCACCTGAATAAATGAACTATTGCACAGTAAAAGGAAGCATGGGGATAACAGTTAAAAGGGACAGATATTGTCTCTATCCCCCCAGCATGATACTTCTTTCTAGTATGATGCAGTGTTTTAACTAAAGGTTGTGGAAAAGCCAATCCCTGTAAAAGAATCGGAGATCATCTTTTCTGGGCTTTGTTTCAAGGATGACCTGAGTTCCTGGCCCAAATATATTTCAGAAGAGCAAACATTTATTAGTGGAGAATGCCAGATAGAATGGTGTACTTATAGAACCAGAAGCTTCCCCAGGGAGAAAGGACTGGGTAGTCACCTTAGAAAGCCTCTGTGGGAGAGACTCCGTTCTAATGCTGCTGCTGGTGAAATGAACACAGGGTGTGGTTAGTGAGTGAATGGAATGTCTTTTGAACTGGTGGTACCCTTGGAGTGGGGTTGGCATAAGATACAAATTATCACATTAGCTGACTGATACTTCTTTATGTTACTATATTCCAGTTAGAAGGGTTTATGCTCATGCCCTATGAGATCTATTGCCTTTATACTGTCTGAAGTATTTTATATTTGCCATTTAAGTTAATGATTTGAACTGCTGTGACTATTTATAGAACCAAATATATATCTGAAGTTAGTGCCCACAAGAGTCTCTAAAATGAAGGGTTTTGGGATAAGCACTACAGGATCTGGAATATTCTGCAGTCAGAACTGTGTTATAATGCAATACAAAGTTCAGAATAGAAAACATATTATTTAAAACATCCTGTCAGGGGAAACTACTCTTCTCAAAACCTTTGAAAGGGGGAAAAAAATAAAAATTGTGAACTTTCCTGGATGTCTGTCCAAAGCTTTTTAAAAACTAATGTGAATGACTGAAGTATGTATCCTAGAGATGACAAAGGCCATCTAAGATAAAATAAGCACTTACAATTTTTAAGGGACACATTAAACTTGTGTAAGTCTCAGTTTTTACCTAGGAACTGCTTTGAACCAATAAAAAGAGCCTACCATATTTTTAGTAAATGTTTATGTCAAGAAACTTGGGAAAATGAAGTTGAGTACTAATATTATTAGCCTGCATGCTAGTGCATTATAAATATCTTCCAGGGGATGTTGAAATGCAGTGTTTGCATTAAAATTTGCTACCTTGTTCCTTTCAAAGTTACTGCTTGCTTATCTTCCACATTCCTAGCAAATGTGCAGATATTTCAGAGGCAGAGTAATAGCATACACAAAAATTGCTACTAGCACTGCCTAGAAAGGAGCACAACTTCTGTCATGCAGTCAGAAGAAATGCTGGCACCTGTAGAATTGAATGTGAAACTCCTACTGATTTCAAAGAGACAATTTTTTTGTTGTTTATTTTATTACATTAAGAAGGGAAAGCTGGTAAGAGCATGGAAAAGTTAATGCTCTCCATTAACAGTAAATTCCAGGATCTTACACAACACTCTTTCTTCATAAATATCAAAGTACTTTGCAAAAATGACAACATCATTTTCCTAACTTCTCAGGTGGTGAAAGTGAGGCACAGAGAGAGGAAACAACTGCACATAGATTGTCCAGCAGGATAGTGACAGACGCAGGAACAAAAGCAGATCTCCTCTGTCACAGTCCAGTGCTGATTCTGTGTTTTGTCAGACTGTCTCTTTGCATTCTTAAATAGTTCCTGAAACACATTAAAAAGCCTGGTTTGACCTATATAGCCAAGTGCATCTTTCTTGACAGTCTGTTAATAGATCAAAAAATATTTCCACATCAGGGATGCAAAACACTTAAAAGCACTATGTTTAGTAAGACTTTTATAAATGTTTGTACATTTACTCTTTGTAAAAAAAATTGCTGATGATGCTCAGCGTCACAGCAATGGATTCCATGGATGAAGCTGGAAAATCAGAAAAATTATCAACCTTAAGGCATAATGGGTCACATGCAGAAGTCAAAAGCAGAGAGGTTGCCCTCAGATGCTAACACACCAGTGCCAAAGGTCATCATGTGTGGCACATGCCTTAGCAGCCAGCATAGAATTATGACAGAATCTCAAAGAGAAAAATAAAAGCTATATATAGAACCTTTTAACATTATTGCTTGAACTGGAGTAATTATTTACATGGTAAAATATCTTGCAGAAGTACAATATAGGGGATCTAAATTACTTAAAATGTACTGACTGCAAAGATATTACAGGCTGAAATTTAGCCCTGGACTTTTTTTTTTTTTTTTTGAATGTGCCTCATAGCAAGAATAGAATAATTGTATAGTAAAGATGGAAAAAAACCCAAGTACCTGACAATGTTTAGGCTTGTGGACCATATTTCTTTAGTTCCCAGCTGACTCCTCACCTGCTATGTAATAAGCCATGAAGTATTTCATGGACTTGCATGTATCAAAGCAAGGCCAGAACAGAAGCAATATTACTCAAGGACCACAGACTCAAAAGAGAGCATATTTTATACCCTTGCATTGCCATCCTTGTTTCTACTATTAGATTTTAAATATCTTGCATACATGTGAGCTGGTTTAAAATGTTTGTTTTGCTATTACATATAGAATTATTTTTTTTAATATGGAAAAAATAAGGTAGAACAAGAAAATATAAAGCTTTATTACATTTTGTGTTTTATTTGGGAATGTAGTATGACTATAACAGCCTGTTTAAAATGTATATGCAAAATATTTAAAACATGTAAGTTCTACAGTGAATTTTAGCACCCAGAAAACACAATCTACCAAAACAAATCTTTAAAATGCATGACTTTTATATGTAGATATGAAATATTAAGGTATGTTCTAGTCATGAAAATGTGTTGTTGCAATTCCTTTAGCAAATATTTTGTTTTAAAACTGAATAAGAAGTCATTTGTGTCTACTAGTTTCCATGTTTGTGGTGATCTGAACGTTCAAAATAAAGTTTTAAATCCTAACAGAAGTTTGAAGAAGTCTTGTTGTTGCCTGCATTTTGCTAGATTCATGTTATATATTTTTTGAAATTGCAAAGGCAATTCTCTAAATCAAAACAGACTCTAACATGCTAGGCAGTGTCCCCAAGTCTTCAGCTACACAAATCTGTTCTGAGAGGTGTTACCTTACCTAATACTTCTTCTATTATACTCTGGCAAGCACACAAAGAAATCTACCTCCACAAAAGAAAAAAAAAAAAAAAAAAAAAAAAAAAAAAAACCTAAACCAAACCAAACCAAAAAAAAAAAAAAAAAAATCTCCCCCCCAAAAGAAAAAAAAAAAAAAAAAAAAGAAAAAAAAAATCCTAAACCAAACCAAACCAAACGAAAACAGCTTATCAGTGGGTTCTCCTTTTGGCCAACAAAAACCAAAATAATTCGGGAAGCTAGTCTATGCTTTATTATTTGCTTTAAAATAATGGCAGATAGAACTGTATGCTTGTGAAAAATAGATACTTAATGTATGGATCCTGCTATTCACGCTCATTTCTAAAAAAATTCCTGATGTCCTTGCAAAATTTCCCACTATTGTATTTTATATTACTACCTGTTGCAAAAAATGTCAAAAAATAATAGTTTATCCCTTCTTGCAATTTAGAAGATGCAGACACAGTTGTTCAGTTAAATAATTATTTCCATATGCAAGCAATAATTCATATTCAGCAGAGGAAGGGATCAACAAGCAATCTTGAGTATATAGACAGCATGATAGGCACTTGAACCAGTGATGAAGTATTGAGCATTGAATGTAAATTTAATGTTACTGTAAAGTAATTGCATTTGTCAGCCCATAAAGCTTTTTATTTTTAATAAAGAGCTCTTATGAATTTTTTTTTTCTTTCAATATGCTGCCAGTTACTGCTCTTGGTCCTGATTCTGACAGTCTATGAGTAAAGCAGTGGATGTGCCAATTCATTGTCCTGTCATTTTACACAATACAGTCACGAATTACGTTGTAGATGTTATCATATTCCACAGAAACACCAGAAACTTTACAAAATTCCCCTGCTTTTAGTATTTTTCCCATTGGTTAATCCCCCTGTTTCCCAATGGAAAATATTTTAATTTTTAACTCATACCCTCATTCAAATTTGTGAATACCTGTCACGCTTATTTCACTGTCAATTTAACCAACATGTTCCACCCACCTTTGAAGCACATTTTCTAATTAATCCACCAATGTTCCACCCACCTTTGGAGCACATTTTCTAATTAATCCACCAATTTATTTCATGCAGTTAAATGTGTCTAAAGTTTAACTCCACTGAAACTGCAGAGGGGGAGAGCAGAGCTTTGAAAATACATATTGGGTGTTCCTTGTGAAGGATGCAGACTCTTCTGTAATTTAACCAGATGTATATGGAGTTTAAAGAAAGCACTACAACTCTTCTGTTTCATATAATTTATCTTGGTTGAGTACACTATTTCATAATGGGTCATGGGGGTCCCACTGAAATCACAATGAAACTGAAGTTCGAAGGAGTTGTTATTCAATCTGACGTATTTATTTCACACTCAGATGCCAACAAGTGGCCTACAATGGATCTTACAAGAGCATCTCTATTCTTGAATTCTCAGATTCTAGTGCAGCTGGCAAGGGGAAGGGGCAGGGCAGGGATGCAGCACCACAATCCACCCCAAAACTAAAATCAGCTTCTCAGCCTCCACACCTGGTGGTCTAAA